GTAATCCCTCCTTCGTATGCTGGGTATACCCCAGGACCTCCTACCAGTTGGAAATGCCCAGAAAACCTCAAGTGGAAGGCACACAGGAGGCATCCTGATCAGATGCCTGAACCACCTAAATTAGCTCTTTTCATGTGAAGGAGCAACGGCTGTAGTCTGAGCTTGCTCCAGATGTCTGAACTCTGCACCCTGTCTCTGAGGCTGAGTCCAGTCACCCTATGGAGGAAACTTGTTTCAACCACTTATGTTTGTGATCTCATTCCTTCAGTCATTACCCAGAGCTTGTGACCATAGGTGAGGGCTGGAACATAGATTGCTAGCTCTCTCTTCATCTCAATAGTTCAGTACAGCGCCCACATTACTACTGAGGCTATACCAATCCACCACAGACCCCAAGATTCTTAAACTCCTTGGGGCAGCAACTCATTCCCAACCCAAAGGGAGCAATCCACCGCTTTCCAGCAGAGAACCATGGCCTCAGGCTTGGAGGTGTTGATTCCAAAACCACAGGCATTTATCTGCTGCCATAACATTATCCACTCTTCTGGGAAAGATTTCTACATTTTATAAGTTAAAATGGAAATGAGAGAACAATTATATGTTTACTAGGAACAAATTTTCTTGTTTTTCTTCTCAGTAAATGATGACTATTACCAAGATTGTGGAGTGCCAGTTTTATATATAAGACAGAGGTGGTTGGTTCTGATTGTATTTTATAAATGAGGAAGAACTAGGGGTATGTCACTGAAAAGGCAACATGCTTTGAACCTGTGTTATTAAAACTGTAACACCAGGACAGATGGCATTTGTTTGTTTTGTGCCCTCCATAGTTCTTTGTTAGAAAAACTTCCTTTGAGATGTCCACACAAATGTGAAATGGAAATTACAAAGTAAAAAGGTTGTTACTGCTATGTTGCTGTATTTGCTGTAGAGCTGAGATGTATTGACATCGCAGACTCTTTGTTTTTCAGGAGATCAATGGCATCACAGCAGCACTGGCTGAAGAGCTGTTTCATAAAGGTTAGCTTTGTTTGTGTTTGACCTATTTCCTCTCATCTAGTGTTTTGAGAACTGTTAACAATGAATAGTTCAGTGGGGTTGTGTGTCCTCTCTGTGTATCTGCAGCGGTTACTTATAAAACACCAAGCGTTGTTCAGTTACAGTAAGAGATAAAGTGGAGCGAGTCAGAAAGCTCTGACACGCTTGACTATTAAAAATCAAGATTATTCTTATGAAATCTTGCACAGGGAGCTCTGTCAGACTATGTGTGTGTTTGTGCGCTGTAGGTGAGCAGTTGCTGCAGGCTGGCGAGGTGTTTTCTCTCCGACCTCTACAGCTTTACTCCGTCTCCCAGCAGCTCCGCCTGGCCAAACCAACCTGCTGTAACGGAGATGCCAAAACCGATCTGGGCCACATCCTTGACTTCATCTGCCGGCTGCGATACCTCAAGGTCACACACCTTTTTATATAACTCATATCCACACCGTACAGTTCCTCACTTCCCTTTCAGCAGCAGAGGTGGTGAATTTTCTCACTGGTTTTGTTTCTGTTGGTCAGATCTCTGGTACCAGAGGCCCAGTAGGAACCAGTAATATCCAGGAGAGCAGTCTCCCCTTCGACCTGTCTGTTTTCAAATCACTGCTGCAAATAGAGGTAATTGTCTGTTTGCCCTCAGAATAATCTCACTTCACTTCACTTGTAGAGGCATTTTCACATATGAACTTTAATGTAAGGCTGAGTAAATCTGTAGTAGTAATCCTAATGCATTTTCATAAAGCCGAGCTGTGTCAGGTGAACATTTAACCCAGTTTCAAGATCAAAAAACATAGTGACAGGAGCAAAACAATGTTTTCCTTTTGGCTGAAGTGGAGAGGTTGGTCAGTAGATAAAGAGAATATTAGACTCTGAGACGCTGAGTGCACTACTTGCTTCATCAGCTGCAGACAAAGCTTCAGTGTCTCATCATTAAAGGAAGGGGGAGTCAAGTGACCGAGTAGGGTTGGACACATCACCTCCTGCTTAACTGTACCGTCCCAACTACACAAACGTCACCAAAGGTGTTTGGTAGTAATAAAATGTAATACATGTAGCTCTGGAGTATATTCTTCTAACTGGGAACAAACTTTTGGAGATTTTATTGACTTTTCAGAAATCCACTATAAACTTGCCAATATCTGAACAGAAACATTTTCGGTCTCTCTCTCTTTTTCTGACTTCAGATCAGTGATTGTAGTTCTCAGCAGATTCAAGGGTTGTCATCTCTGAGGTCGACTCTGGCGACTATGTGTATCCACCGCTCCACAGAAACCATGATGGTAAAACTTAATTAAACACCATGTTCATGTAGTATATTATGTGTTGTACCTTGATGTGTTTATTGTGATGTTTATGGCGTCCTCCAGTCCATCTTGGTTCCGGAGGCGAGTGAGTTCTCACAGTGGGAACCTGAGGGGGCGGAGTCTGGCTGTCCTGTAACCGCCTTTATCCCTGTGTGGAGAAACTTGACCACACTTGACATGAGCCACAACTGCATCAGTACCATCGACAGCTCAGTGGTGAGACACACGCCTTTGTTTTGGCAGCTTCATCCAGAGTTCAGTGTTTAAAATTCAGCACCAGATGTCATGATGATCTCAGATGTCATTTATCAGTTTTTAGGCAATGTGTATTTGTTCCGATTTATGTCTAGTGCAAAGGTATGAAAGAAAGAAATCTTTGGCGCTAGAGGAAAGAAACGAGCCCTCCACAGATTTCAATCCACTACCTGTGTAGAGAAGTTAAAAAGGACTAAACAAGCAAAAGGGAGAAAAACTTGTGCTTTGTATCATTGCTCTGTTCTGTAAGGTTCATGGCCATGAAAAATCCTGGAAAATACATGAAAGAACATTGCCCAGTCCTGGAAAAGTTGTTTAGAACTTGATCGAATTTATGATTAAATAATCATGATAAACATATTTATAAAGCTTAAATTTACTGGAGTAACTCATCAAAACAAATAAGCTAAAACTACTTGAAGTTATTTAAATTTAAAAAGAGGAACTTGGGTTATTTTTTATAACATACAAAGCAGTTTGGTGAAGATGGCAAGACTATTTCGTATCTTCAGCTCCAGATGATTTTACATTTGCTTGTGTTCGATCAAGGATACATGAAAAGCTTTGCTCCTTCTCTGGCTGCACTGATTGGTCAGGGAGCTGTTGGATGAGGTGGTCACACTGTCCTTGATATCTGTCTCTCTGGTGTGACACAGGACATAAAATCAGCTTGATTAAAGCAAAGTTTATGCTCCATTTATCACTTTCTGTGTGCTAACACTGCATTTTTCTGTCGTAGAAACTGATTCGTAAAGTGGAGTTTCTGGATCTGAGCTACAACCAGCTGTCCTCAGTGGAAAACCTCCAGGTATGTGGCAGCGTGATGAAGAACCCATCAGCTCTCTCAGAACATCATTAATGTCTACATCATTTTTATGGGAGCATACAAATAGTGTAAAATGTCCTCAGATTTCGAGAGCCCAGTGAAATGTCTTCAGATTTCTTATTTTGTCCATTAACAATCCACAGACCAGAGATATTTAGTTTAGTCTGATGTAAAAGCAACAATGTAGTTTATCATTAACAGTACAGTATAGTACTAAAGAAGCTGCTATGTGGTTACAGCACCTGTACAACCTGGTCCACGTTGATCTGTCCTATAACAGCCTGCGGGTCCTGGAGGCTGCTCACACCCGTCTGGGCAACATCAAAACTCTGAGCCTGGCAGGCAACCAGCTGGACCGACTGACTGGCCTCACCAAACTGTACTCTCTGGTCAACCTGGACCTCAGCCACAACCAGCTGGCCCAGGTAACCACACTGAGTGACCCAGATGTATATGGAAGGTCTGTTTTCAGCAGCAAGATATTTACTTCCTACACAATTGTGACATATTTTACAATTCTGTGCGTTTGTGTTAAAATAAATCTCACCACATTTTGTTTTCTCTCTACTGTCGACTCGAGTAAAGGCATAAAAAATTAAGTAATTCTCTGAGGAAACCTAAATCAGACACGCTTATGAACAACATCATAAATCTGCGAAAAACATCCAGCCATAGCTTTCGTGAGAGTCCTGATTTTATCGCGAGTCAGTGGAGTGGAGTTTGATTTGATTTGACTTTTCCAGTTGGAGGAAATCAAGAACATTAGCTCTCTGCCCTGTCTGGAGAAGCTCAACCTGTCCAGTAACCCCATGTGCATCATCCCAGACTACAGAACCAAAGTTCTGGCCCTGTTTGGAGATCGTGCAGCAGAGGTACACCAAAACCACCACACACTAAAGTTTCATAGCCAACAGCATTACAATGTATTTCTCCCTGTACTGTTACTTTTGCTTGTGCTTCTAATAGTATCGCTACTCAACAACCACCACCACCATACTACTACTACTTTTGCTAGTCTGTAATGCAGCTAATGCTGATATTACTATAATTAAACTGTTTATACTACTGCTATGTTGTGATTGTTTATTTTTTTGTTTCTGCGTCAGGTCTGCCTGGACGGTAAAGTGACGACAGAGAAGGAGCTGGACACAGTGGAAGTGTTGAAAGCCATTCAGAAAGCCAAGGAAGCCAAAGACAAGATGAGCAGCAGCAACAAGAAGGTACACTCTGTGACACTAAATCATAAGGGGGGAGACCAGTTTGTTGTTAGTATTTATACTAATATAATTCAAGAAAATTAAAGATTATTCAACTGTTCAGAAATGTTTTTGTATGTTACATAAGAGGAGTTTACCAGACTGAATATCATATTTTACCATTATATTTGTCTTGAACTCAAGCCACTGTTGAGTTGAATGTTACATCTTTGTGAGTTGTAATTTATTTTCGGAGCAGATTAATAAACCCAGAAACTTGCTCTGACTTGATTACAGACCAACACAAGACACAATCCACCAGTTAGATGTGACTAATAATGAACCTGACATCAAGTTAATTACTAAAATACAACAGTCACTACAGCAGTCTGTTTATTAAATACCTGTGGTAACTGAGTGTAACGAGCTGCTGTAGTGTTTGTTGGAGTTTGTAGATTAGAGAGGTTCTGCACATCAGCAGCAGAGTTTAATATATAAAGACAATATAGTCATTGGACAAAACAGGTCTGATTAGGTGTGTGAGGTTGTAGTCTCACCTGGAAAATTTTAACTTGTAAACGTTTCTGTTTTTAAACATATTCTGCAAAATTTAAAGTACATGTTTTTGTTAGACAAGATAATTGTAGCCTTATTTTTATGCCTGAGTATTTTGGTCAGAGGTTTCCCAAGGCTTGGGGGGAAAGCTCATTACGAAGAGTATTTTGGCCTTAATCTAAAGGGGAGGCGACAGTGGTGTGGTGGGTAGAGCAGTCGTCTCTCAACCAGAAGGTTCAAGGTTCGAATCTCAGTGCCTCCAGTCCACGTGTCGAAGTGTCCTTGGGCAAGACACTGAACCTTCATTTGACTACCATGCTCAATAAGAAACCTAAATCAAAATATTTAAGCCACATATTAGTCCAGATTTTAAGTAGATGGTGTATTTATTTTGAAAACAGGACAACCATAGAGTGTGGTCTTTTTCATTTAGTGCAGTTTAATATCTCCTGCACACAAAGCTTTATGAGGTTCCTCTGCAGGAGGAAACCACTGACCACATGTTTTCATGGTTCATAACAGAAAAAGATTCTGCTCATTTACAGATTTAAATAAAGCACAAACCTATCATGAGTCAACCGGTTGTGTTTCCTCATACATAATTAGCTCTTGAACTTCACAGTTTGGTTTAAATGTTTTTATGCAACCTCATACATCTAATTCTACATGTAGAGAGAGCAGTACTAGATGAGTGCAGCTGGATTTGATTGTTTTTTTGTTTTTTTTGGTCTCTTCAAAGCAGCTAAAAATCAGTGTAAATGTCTTTAAAAAGCCTGGCTGTCTGTTGCTCTGCTGCTGATGGAGCTGCTGGTTGACGATCTTAGGATGTGGTCTGGTTGATGGTATATGCGACTGCAGCTGTCTGAAGGCTTCCTCCTCTCTGTCCTCTCGTCAGATCAGTGAGGAGACCAGACTGTCTGCTGCTGCACCTCCTCACTTCTCCTCCTCATCTCCCCCCTCCTCCTCCGCCTGCTGCTCCTCTGCTGTTGCTCCTCTTGCGCTCACCTCTTCCTCTTCCTGTCCGGCCCAGCAGGCTGCTGGCCCCAGCCAAGGTAATCATGTATGTATCAGGCTGTAAAGTGGAAAAAAATTACAAAATGTATACCAGGCGAGGCCGACTGGACTAACCTGCTGCTTTCAGTCCTTCAGTCTAAGCTAGATCGTATCAGCTTATGTGCTTTTGTAGATGCTTGGCTTCCTGCTAATACTGAGAAGAAAATAAAATTTTTCACAGTTTATTGCTTTAAGATGCTATTCAGTTACTAGTTGCTTCAGCTGTTCATACATTCACACTCTGCCCTTTAACATAACTCTATACTTAGTTGATGTTTATTACAAAGCTGGCAGCAGCCTGATTAATTCTCTATACTGGGTATATACAGTGATATTTATGAATGTTTGGTTATAGTTTGTGACACTCTGCTAATGCTCACTAGCCTCCCTTTAAGAAACCAAAAGCACTAATATGTAGTTTGTTCTGGCATATTGATTGATTGATTGATTGATTGATTGATTTTATTCTTTCAAGCATGTAAAGATAGTCGACATGTCAACACACATAATTTCACACATATCCAACAAATGCTAATCCATTATCAATTTGCTTATACCTAGTACATGCTTGAACAGAGTAGGAAGAAGTCAGACTTATCCAGTCCTACCCCATGACATCATCTTACATCATTGGTTTGCAAGCAGTATCTCTACATAGATAATTCTCTTCTACACCACACAAGTAATATACTAAAAAATAATTAATCATTAAGCCTGTTCTTGCATATATCTTGATTGACACATACCTTTATATTTATGTTTAAACTCGTCAATTCTGTTACTATTTTTTATGTCCACACTTAGATTATTCCATAGTTTTACCCCACTTATGGAAATACAAAATCTTTTTTTGGTTGTACGTATAGCATGAATTTTTTAATTTAACTGACCCCTTAAATTGTATCCCCCTTCCCTTTCATTAAATAGTTTTTGAATTCCACCAGGTAATAAATTGTTCCTGGCTTTATACATAAACACTGCAGTCTTATATCCCACTAAATCAAAAAATTTTAACAATTTAGACTGTATGAAAGCTCCATTGGTGTGATCCCTATACCCCATCTTATGCACAATTCTTATCGCTCTTTTTTGTAATATATACAATGGTTGAAGTGAGCTTTTGTATGTATTTCCCCAGTTTTCAACGCCATACTCTAAGTATGGTAAAATCAATGAAGAATACAAAATGCGTAGTGCTTTCCCGTCCAAAATATATCTAACCTTTGCCAATATCGATATGTTTTTTGCTATTTTGTGCTGAACATATCTGATATGAGATTTCCAGGAGAATTTGTCATCAACTATGACACCTACAAATTTAATTTCATGTACTCGTTCTATATTAGCATGCTGCACTTTGTCTAATCTAAACTGCAAAAACTGTAGGTGTGTTAGTATTTTTAACAACTGTCCAGTGAAATAGGTTTAATTGAAACTTGTATCTGATACAGTCAGACAGTCACCATGATTTTTTTTTTTTATTAATATTCCTTTCAAAATTGCTATTTTCTGCTGAGGCATTGATAAGCTCTTTATAAAATTTTGGGCCTAATGTGTTCTTATTACAAACAGACATTAGAATTCCATGATTGTCTGTTTATCCTGACAAGTGAAATTTTGAAATGTAGTGTTAAGTCCAAAAATAACAACATCAGCCCTGAACAGTGTCACATCGATCAACTTTCTGTTTGTAGTTGTTTTCCTCGTCACCAGTGCCGCTGACCTTGTTTGGTTTCCTGTTTCAGAAGTGATGAGCAGAGAAGAAGCCGCAGTTCCCCCCAGCATTCTCCCTCCTGTGGACAACACTGCACCTCCCCCTGCTAGCTTTAACACTAACACACACCTCCTGCCTGCTGACCCCGCCCAGGTGAGAAGCACATCTGAATGACCTGGGAGATCAGGCAGTTTGATTAGTTAGCAGGCATGGAGGGGTGTTGGCGGGTGAGAAATCGGTTAGAGGAATTACAGTATCTCATAACTATTGATTCTAAATTAAACTAATCATTTAGGTTAGGAGTGTAACTGTGTCCTTGAACAATATGTCTCAGTATAAATGTAAAAATAATGCATCGTGAAGAATTCCAGAGGATACAAATGAATGTAACACATTAATAGTATGACCCATCACATGTCTCAAATGCAGCTTGAAAATACTGCTGAGCTGACGGTCTTAAAATGTTCTTTAGAAATCTGTGTTTATCCATACTAGTGGCTATGTTGGAGTGGCTTTCCACCACTTTCATGCAGAGTGAAATAACTTTTTATCATGGAGTTTGGTACAGACACTCATGTTCTCCTCTGTCTTTTCATCTAACACCACTAGCAGCTCAGAGTTTCAGTTTATTGAGTACTTCACTTTACGATCAAATACCTGCAGAGCTTATTCCCATCAGTTTCAGCTGCACTTTGAGTTTCCTGCCAATTTGCATTTACCAAGTGCAAACATGCTGAAATAACATGGTAAACGTAACATGCTAAATTGTCACTGTAACAAGTTGGCACGCTAATGTTAGCTTTTAGCTCAAAGCATCTTATGCTAAAGTATAGTTGTAGAATTTGGTTAGATGTTTGTTCACAGTCAGCTGGTTCTAATCTTGGTTTATGTGTTTATCTGCAGATATACCAACCTACTGTCAGTTTGTCTGAACACATACACTATGGGGCTCCCACAAGTATTACTACTACTGCGAGTACTACTACAAGTACTGTCTGGTCAGTATCAGTAACTGTGAAATCAGCAGCTCTAATTAAAGTTTCAGGTGCTTTTATTTTTTGATTTTTTTGATGCTGTTTGTTTACCTTCTATGGAACTCTTTTAGCCCCTGGAAGGCTTGTAATGGGAAACATCCATGCAGTAAGTGTTGAGTTTCATTACACTTAAAAGTGTTTGCATTAACAGTAAATTAAAACAGGATTAGTAGTCAGGACCTGTATCTAATATCAGCCTGTCTCAAACTAAGACCTTGCTGCAGTTGAGGTAAAAAAAAAAAAAAAAGAGTAGGCAACTACTGAAACATTATGAAAGTACTTTTAATAATTCCAGTAATACTACCTGGGGGCTTTCAGGTAGCCGAGTGGTCAAGTCACATACTGTCATCCTGGCTCCATTGCAGCCAGGGACCTTACTGCATGTCATACCACTCTCTCTTTGTTTGTTTCCTGTCTGTCCTAACACCATCAACTGTCTTTTAAAGGTAAAAAAAAAAAGACAAACAAGGTTATAGTACTACCCGGCCAGCTAGCACTACTGCAAATTGGTTCAAAGCACAAATATTTGGACTTCTATGACTTAAAGACAAATAAAGCTGACACTTCTCTTTAGTTATACTGCTACTGTTGAAACTGATACAACAGGTTTGACTGATTCTGAAGTCCTACCTCTACAGCAGCTGTAGTCTTTGTATTAATACTGTGTTGTCATTCAGGCGTCTGTCATTCAGGAAGTCAGGATGGAGGTATGTCAGATTAACTGTGCGTGCAGCTGTTCTTCTCTCCTTCATTTAGGAACAACATCAGGACAAATCAGTACCGTTGGAGTAACAGTTTTACAGTTTCTCCAAAATTGTTTGTTGAGTTTGTTTTTTTATTTTATTTTATTTTTAGTTGAGCTTTATTGACCTACAAATGTCAAACTAAATAATGAAAAGAATTTGTGACATCGATAAATAAATAATGGAAGGAGTGTGTGAAAGGAGAATGAGCTAATAGACGAACTGAGGTCTTGTGATGAAGTCATGTTTAAATAAGTGGTTTTTATGTTCATGACATTTTGGGAAAAAAAAAAAATCCTTGTTTCTGTCTTCATCTTCTGCAGTTATGAGTGCTCCATCCCCTCCTCCAAACTACCTGAAACCAGTTGTTTCACCTGCAGCACCGCCTGGTGTCCTCTACTTCCTACTCACCTGTTCTGCCTCTCCTCCACGAACAAAGACTTCATTACCCAGCTCTCCCAACATCTCAACTGTACCCTGATGGAGCAGAAGGGGAAGAAGAGGGAGGGGGAGAAGGAGAAGGAGAAAGGAGAGGATGAAAAGAGGTCTGAATCCAGAGATGTTCATTTTCATGTGGAGGGCACCAGGGTGGGCAGTCTCAGGTACTTCATCCAGCAGCTTTCTCTCACTAGGTTCTGGGATTTCCAGAGGTTTCCAATGCATTTTGGGATTAGCAGTGTTTTTGAGGTCCTCTGAAGCTCTCACTGGTCTCTGATGTGGATATCCACACTGAGGTCATTTAAAATTCCTGTTGATTTCATGAGATATTCAAAGTAGCCTCTGATTTGGGGGATTTTCAATGGTTTCCCTTCATTTTCTGGTATTTCTTGAGGTTTGCACTGATTTTCCAGAGGTTTCTGGAACACCTAAATTCCCACTAGTGTCTATGATTCCCTTACATTCTTGCTTAGTTGTTGCACTGTGGGAATTTCAAGTCATGTGTGTTTCCTATAGTTTTGGGATCTTCTAAGGTGCTTTCTGAGACAGATGCCCTTGTTATTTTCAGGGATTTCCTGACATT